TGCCTGGGGGAGGGAGGCGGGGAGGCAGGTCTCTGCCGGCCCTCGGAGGGGGGTACTCCTCACGGAGAGTAGGAGCAACAGCCCGCCAGCCGGAGCTCCGGGGCACAGCTCTCCGCCGCTGGGCTGGTGGCTCTCAGGAAGCCGGTGCTCCTCAGGAAAAACCGCACTCCCCAGCACCGGCTCTCCTGCTGAGACATTAAACTGCTGCACAGGTGATAAATCGCTCTATAACACCCTTCTGAGACAAGGAAGAGCCTTTCCAACTTTAAGTGAAAGCAGCATGTAACCATTTAAGTTGAAAAACGCTGAAAATATTCACGGGAAAATGATCCTTGAAAGGCTGGTACCAGCCATGGATGGAAAAGGCGAGATCAATACCATTATCGCGATATGGAGGGGACTTTTCGCCAGGTTTTGCAAACTGCGTTTGAAGGGAAGCAGATAGCCAGCCATGAGCTAATGCTCAGCTCAATCCTCGATACCAAGCGAGATGCCAGCAGGACCTGCGCCGAGTACCTGTGTGGGACACTGTGGCTCAAAAGAGATGACACACATGGCAGTGTGGGACTTGTTGGGATTTCCCCGTAACTGTCAGCTCTCTTCTGTTCAGTTGCTTCAGGCTCAGCTGGCTCTGATGCCTCCCCTGATGGGTCCTTGTTCATCCTCACCTGTTCCCCGGGCACTGCACTTGCTCTGCAGGTGGAGAGGGAGACTTTGGAAACCCTATAGGCAGGTGATTTGCCTCTTCTGGGGACTGATGTTTCATGCTGCTTTTCTCTTTGTAGTTACCATCCAGTTTTCTTCCCCTCTGCCATCACACGCAGTTAATTGTAGTTAATTCTACCCTCTGTTTCCATAATCACTGTCTCTCTTCCCCCTATAAACACAGGAACTTGGCAGCAGTTCTTGGAGACAAGAACAGTAGTTGCTAAATAGGAAGGATAATGCCAACAATGAGGCATCATTTCCAAGAAATGACAACAATCATAGCATGAGGAAGGCTGCACAGTGGACAGACACTTCAGCTATTCAAACCCAGTTCTCAGCTTCAGTAAGAAATCTCCCCATAGGAAGTCAGCTAAAGGGAGTAGTGTAAGTTGCATTTTATTAGACAGAGGTGAATTTGATACACATTATATCTTAGTTTTCCATTCTTCTTGTTCAGACATGTTGAGTGTACAGGTTTCCCATTTTTTAGTCAAGAAAGAAAAACACATTGCACAAAGCAGCTGCATTCAACAATACAACAAGATCATTGTTCACTTGAAGACTAGAAATGTGCCCAGAAATTTTTCAATCATTCAGTATGCTAAAATATAGATAATAAAAAGAGTTGTTAGTTACTGTTTAATGGTAAAATACATTAAAAAATTCAGGTGAATCCAGAATGAAAACTCATTACTTCCTTCAGTATGGCACCACCCTTATTGTTTCATTATAAATTTGTAAAAGGTACCACACATTAAAACTGTAAAGCAAGGGAGAAAAAAAATCAAGCAGCTTTCCATCATTTTCTTTCTGTAAAAACATATATATCTTAAGGCAGGTGTTTTTATGTGCAAAATACAAGTATACAGGTAAAACCAATGTTGGTATCATATATTCTCATACTCGTTCATTTAGCAGTAACATCGGTGTCCAAATGTACAGTACATTGAAAACACTTTTCTCTAACACAGCTCAAAATAGAAGGCAGGCTGGAAATATGGCCCTGATAACAATTAGGTTTTAAATTTGAAGAGCTTTTATGTAAGACCCTTTAAAACATGTACAAACAGTCATTCTCTTTTTCTTGTTGTCTCTTCCTTTAGAAAGGTCCATATCAACTTGTTCACTATGTCAGGTTGATCCTGCTGGAGCCAATGACTGGCTTCAGACAAAATAGTTAATCTGAAATGATTTTTAACATAAATCCGTGTAATTTCTGCCATCTCAACTTCCATAAACGCATCTCTTTCTCCCCATAACAGCAGGGTTGGCATGATGACTTCATGGTGCTGCAGAGGTAGGCAGCTTTAAAAAGAAAACACACTTAGTTAGGTCTTTTTTTTTTTTACAAAAATCACCAAGATTTCAGCCAAGTTAGCTTTTGAAATCAACATGGTCAATGTCCTTGCAAGATTTCTTATTTCCAAGACATCTTCTATAATACCAAGAAAACACTCCTGTGACTCAAAGTCCTTTAATTGTTTTTAAGGACTGTAAATTTATTAGAAGATACTTTTACAGTAACATGTATGTAATCAGCAGTTGATTGCAACAGAGGTCTTATATTTGGAACATGACTGATGCTTCAGCATGGTGCAGAGCTCAGGAGCCCCATGATCTCGGTAAAAAGGAATGTGGAACAACACGGCCACATTTTGGAGGTCAGTGGCTTTCCCTTGGTTGGTGAACGCTATGGCAAACTTCTGAAGTGGCATTATTTATTGCAAGTAGGTTTTGATGAAATATTATGCTTTGAATCACATTTAGACTACAGTGTTCAAGGCATCTAGCTACCTGAGTAGCCAAACTGCCTTGCTAAAATACAGTTGGTTGTCTAGGAAACAGCAGGCTGCCATTTTTGGACACTATGGAAGATACCAGCTAGAGCATTTCAGACCTACTCAAAACGGAATATCATGTAGTACAGCTAAAAATAAAAATATTTGTAGAAAAAGATATTCTATAGAACATTGATGTCTGAAACGCTGAACTGAATTCAGTTACAGTCACTGATCTATAGCTAGTATTCACTCATGCTAACATTCAAAATGCATCAGAGTTCCCTTTACAAAGAGCTACAGTATGTTTTTGAAGGCCTTGGACGTACACACCTACATCTGTATGCAGTGAAAGAAAATGGTTCCTTAAAAATTTGCCTTTCATGGAGTCATAATCTCTTTAAAACTGCAACATCACAACCCAGAGCTTTGGCAGACTAGAAAGCATTTAAAGATAAACACATTATAGGACATTCGAAGAGTACTTTGAAGAAAAGCCCTTAGAAAGTAAAATGTTAATAAAAATTATACCACCACAGTGACCTATTTAAACTTTCAGTTAAAACTTATTATTTTTTCTTAATACAATTATTTAAAATGTAATAACATTTTATAAATATTTCCTCACATTAAAGGTAGACATTAGCAAAGATACAAGTAGCTAGAAATGAAAGACTGTTTCAACATAAACCATATTAACCCACCAGAATTTATTCCAGCTCATCTGTTTCAGAGATGCTGAAAAATGTATCTGATTTATGCTTGAATAGCTTAATCTTAGCCACATATTGTAGTAGTCTAGCTGTGACAATTCAAAACAGATTCCATCTGAACAAATACAAATATTTATTATATTAATGCTCAAACATTATTATTTTAAACCAGTAATGTATAAAAAAGATTTTCTGAACAAACTTTTATGAGAAACTCAAGTGCTAGGTTGAAACTTAGGAGTTAGTTAAGAGACTACGCTCTGTAAAAAGGGAAAGATAAAGATGATGGCATGTATTAGTTTAAAGTAAGACAAAAAAATTGAGACTTTTAAGACATTCTTCTTCTCTACTTACACAGAATGTCAAGAAATATTAATCAACAGTAATTTAAAATAATAATTTAATTTAATTTTGATTGATGATTTAGGAAAATTCTTCAAATGGCTTTTGTAGCAGTGGATTTAAAATCTAATTTTTCAAATAACCTGACCTCACCCACTGAACCACAGGTTAGTAGTAGTATCAGTTTTAAAAATTGATAATCTGATTATCTGATTCAGTGCATTTAGACTAATCTCTTTACCTTTTAAATCCAGTACCCTGGATCTCCTCACTGTTTATATGCGTATTTTTTCACTACTGTGGGATTTACTGTTTTTTTAGGTGCCTTGCAAGATATGTAGCCTAACTTAGGAAAACTCTCCTGGGCTATGCAGGCACACTGCATAGATAAACAAACTGTTGTTTTTCATTGCTTATGAGCTACATGGTATTTCTTTTCAGTCTGGAACATGGGGCATCATATAATGCCTGAAGTTTCTAGAAATCTCCTTTAACAAGGATTAACATGCAGATTTCACATTTAGAAAGGCAAGTTCCACTTGTGGAGTTTGTCTTTGAAAAATAGGCTCAGACATTTTTACAGCACCTGTTATACAGTTTTTCTGTAAACAAATACTGAAGTATTTCTTAACTGCTATAAGAGAAGTAATCCCATTCTTTTAAAAAATGGTGTATCAGAAGAAATTAAAGCTTCAACTGCTTACCTATCTCTCTTAACCAAGCATGATACAAAAGCTTTATGATTTTTATTCCAAAAGTGTTTGTATCTGAAGCATAGTGAAGGGAACAGCTGCTGTGCTATTTATACAAGGATGAGTTGGTGATGGATGCAAATAGGTGATTTCAATCATCTCTTTGGAAATAACTTTCCAGAAAAATTAAGCTCTGAAGAATGAAACTCCAGTTGAATAGTAATGAGCTGGAAACCTTTAACACATAGCTCAGCAGTGCCAGCCCACTGGGAGTTACAGTGAATACATGTCATTAGCATCTGAGTGCTGCTCAATGGCTTATATGAGAGGAAGTGAAAATTTCAGTCCACTTTTAATATTTAATGATTCACATCCCATAATGTGCGACCACTAGAACTGGTGGCAAGAACTGAATGAGTTGAAGACCAATCTTTTCCTCCCAGTCTGCTGCGGTTTGAACTCACTCGGCTAGCTGCAAAGCCTGCTGCATTGTGGCTGGTATCACCTAAAATAATATTCTCTGAATTCAGTACAGGTATGTTTTCATTAGAAAAATACAGCAAACAATGCACAAACATACAAATGTGCACAGAGGAATTAATAGCTGTGAAGATACTTTCTGATTAATAACTGATAATAGGGTTTTTTCGAGCCTGAAAAGGCCTGAAACAATAGTTTAAATGTATGCAACTCATCCATCTGTCTCATCTGAATCCCATAGCAATTCAGCTATCACAGATACTTCACTGTTATTGTCAGAGAAGCATCTGGTTGAAGTGCACACTCACTGATGCGAGGTGCTGTGGCAAACGTAAAGGAACAAGGCTCAGGATGCTCATGCCTCTCTAGCTCCTCATTAGCCCTACCCCGGGGGCTCCGGCCGTGCAGCCGCGCAGCTCCCCAGTGCCCGTGGACATCCAGCTGATGTCATCACCTCCTCTGCATAGCTTTAAATAAGTATACAGTTACCAGCACAGCCATCTCATTTACTCCCCATTGCTGTCTGTGTTTGGTGTTATCTTGTTTAGAACAAAACACACCATCCCTCTTCTTTCTCATTGCAGTTTTGTCTCTCAGCTTGTACAAGACAGCACCTAGCTCAGATCCCTGTTCTCTTCCCAGTATGTCCTGCTCTCCTGACAACGATGTTATGGAAGGCAGAGAAAAAACAGTAAAGGTAGCACTAAATTTGGACCAGGGAATATGAAAAGTTAATCCACTGCAAAAATTGACTGAGTTTAGGGAAGGAATTGAATTGTAGTGTTTAAAGAATATTGGGAAGCTGGTCTTGTGCTAGAGAAGCATGCAGGAGGCTTAGCACTGTTGAAGTTGGAGACAGTAAAGGAAAAAGAGTTCAGTCTCACTTTTCTTGGTATAGTGCTTCAAGGTAGGGCCACAATCACAAGTAGAGTATATGCAGAGTTAAAGACCTTCTGGCCCTGATGAGTTTTTGGTAGATAAAAAGGGGGTGTCAGTCTCTAAGGCCAAGCCAGCTCCTTCCATGAAATTTAAAATCATTAGAAAACTGCTTGAGAAAATAAAATAAATATTAAGCTTGCAAAAATACTCCTATTACGATGCAATCTCTCAGTTTCAGTCTATGCATGCTCCCTGCTATATGTGCTTCCTGCTGCCAGTGAGTCTGATGAGACCAATGCAGGAAGAAAAAATGAGTTAGAGTTAGTTTTAGGCTTAGTTACAAAAAACCTACCTCACCTTTTTATAAAAAACCCAGCCCAAACACAGTAAAATTCCAGTCAGACATGGTTTTGTAAAGTTACAAGGAAAAATGAGGGTAACTTAGGTGGGGGCCATATTATCTAGTAATATTATCTAAACATAAGCTCTTCATAGAGCTTACTATTAGATTGTATGAACTGTAATGCAAACAATTAATTGATATTCATTTTTAAAATATTACTTAGAGATGGATTTTTGCGATTGCCGTGAGTTCTGTGAATTAGAAAGGGTCTTTCCTTTATTAGATTGTGAAACAAATATTTTCCTTATCTGCACTCTCGTTGTTTCACTGTTTTCTGTGGGTGCCTCGAACAATTCATTCTGCATCACACTGCTTGACACCGAATGCACCTGTTGAGACGTTCGAAACAAGATTTGCAGTTTTTCCTTCTACTTTAGCGGCAGAAGATGCAATAACATTTTTAGCCTCCAGGGGTCTCTAGAATATTTTCCCTTGTTTCAGAATGTCGGGCTCACCTGAAAATGTTTCTGTAATGGTTAATGGGTCCAGTTAATGCTCCAGGTTGTGAGAAGACATAGAGATAAGCTTCAATGTCCTCTGCTGTTAGTCTGCAGCCTTTCCTTCCTATGCCAGTGGCCTGGCTGGTAAATAAACTTTTAAGAACCTACAAAAGGAAGACCAAAAAGCCACCACATAAGATAGCTAGAAAATGTGATTTCTCTCCTTCAACAGGACACCTCTTTCTAAAATCTATTTGTACACTGTTTAGAGTATAGTGAATGGTTTAAATACTTTTTCAGAGAGCTATGTGTAAAGCACACAGTAAGCTTACTTCTCATATAACTTCAGAATAAACTTATTTCTGGTATAACTTCAGAATAATCAGGTACAGACAAATACCAGTATTACCAAGTTACCCGGACCTGCCACCTGTGACAGCAAAGGCAAGCGCAGGCACATACTTTTCTTTAGGATGGACACTTTTCTTTTGGGCAGGAGGGAGAATGATTCAGGACCTCCCCAGCCTGCTGTGCCTGTGTGTGTTCAGCACTGGGAGCTCTGTACGGGGCTGTATGCATGTAGGAGGATGCCTGCCTCCAGCTGTTTTTTCCCTTTCTATATGGTTGTACTTATTTTCTAGGATTATACAAGGAGTTGACCTTGTTAGTTTCTCAGGCAGAATTAATCACCTGGCTCAATTTGATGCCCAGACTCCCAGGCTGCCTGCTCCGTAGCAGGCTCTGAGGGGTAAGAGGATGTCCCACTGCTCATCGGAGCTTCAGGTAAGTCAGCAGGAGTTCCCCAGGCACCAAATGTGTCCCACTGGCATGGGCACAAGTAAAACCAGCTGTCTGTCTAGGTGGAGTAATGCACTGCAGTGCTGGAGGTTAAAAGTATGTACCTGAACACCTCCCAGAGATGCAAAAGCAAGAGTTAATCGCAGAGACTCTAGACGCTTATATCCTACTTTATATAAAAAGCGTAAGAAGCAAAATCAGAAAGCTCTGAATTTTTTACAGTAATTATAACTACATCAGAAGGGATCAATGTAGGTGGCAATTCTTCCATCACTCACAGTTAAACATATAAACAAGAGCACTCATTTTGCTCACCTTGAAATCATTTACTGTAAACATGAATTCAGGAAACCATGGCATTTGGAAAAAGAAGTAGTAACCAGATTTAATCAATTGTGATGGATGTCGTAGAATGTATTCTGAAACAAAAATGCCCATGAATTAAAAACAAAAACTGATGACTCAAACAAAATTACTGTTAATATTACTATTTTTTAAACTTAAAGGAATGTTTTAAAAATATTACATTACAGCATGCTATGTGACAAAAGATGATTATTGTTTCAGGAGTAAGTATATGATGTGGCCATTAAAACGTATTTCTTTTATATGTGTTAGTAGAATCAGTCAGCAAACTAGAAGCCTGCCAAAGACCAGGTGAGGGCAGTGACACTGGAGAGTTTAATTGCATGATAGGTTTTCACTAGATATGTTTGTGTAGCTAGTCCAAATAATTCTTTTCAGCTGTGGAATAAGAGGTGTAAACACAAGTCTTTAAGTATTTCTCTTATCAAAGACGTAATGCATAGAAATCTGTAGATGATAATCCACTTACATTCTAAAGACAGCATCAATCCTGTTCACAAAAGTAAAGAATTTTTCTAACAGTTGTCTTCTTGGCAATTTCAATAACCATAATCAAGATTGTATAGTGTCACTTTTTAAAGACATTGAAGCATATATAACAAAATAAAATTATATAGCCAAATTTGCACTTTTTTTTTAATTGTAATTTTGTGTTTCCAATGAGTTTCAAGAGCCAACACTGACATTCAAATATCTAACTTCCTCGAAACAACCACAGAATGTATGCAGGTACTAGGAAGTCTAGAACCTATCCTTTACAGATGTGAATTCAGGGAGGCAAAATTGCACTCCCAACGTAGGAGATATCTCTGAAATATTAATTCTGACAGTGAATAAAAATGGGTTTTAAAACAAAGTAAACTGAAGTGTCTGCTATCTTCTAAACTTTCCTATCTTATACGTTCTTAAATTGCCTCACACATTATATTTTTCCTTGATGGACCATCATCAACACTGCTAACTAGACTGTTCTGCACAATTTATAAACTGTATTATCATTTAATCCAGAGTAGAACAAATTTGATCCAGCAATTATCAAGCCGCAGAACAGATTTTGTATTTTAACAAATACACAAACAAATACTAAGAAATACTATAGTAAAATGTATTTGTCTTCTATACAGCCTGGCTCCAGCTCTCAGTGAAAATACTGCAAAAAGCTCCTGCTTGCTCAGGTGGTGGTGAACAGACCTTTCCTTGGTAAGTGAGGCTTAACTACCTGGCAAAATGTTCTTTAGTATCTTAGAAAGGTACCCAAGAACACTGTGATAATGACATGTGTGAATGGGTCTGATTCCATGGTGGTATAAGGTCAGGTTTACATTCAACTGAAATGAAAATTAAGGCTGCACTGAATATTCTTAACTATTTCTGGGGAAATAGGGTGACACTAAAAAAATTGAAATAGGGTAAGGTCAGCAATTGAAGAAATTAAAATTAATGAGATACTTCTTTTATTTTAATTACTGAATGTTCATCTAATGCCTATGAAATATTTTGTAATTCTGGGTTGTAGACAAGCTCAAAACCTGTCACACAACAAATTTTGCTAGTGCACCTAAATCCTTGTTTCAGCTCACTACTAGTATGTTCCTGAGCCTCTAGTAAGTAGCCTGGAAAAGCTGTCTCGTTCCAATGAATATTGTACAAGATCATAAATTGTTGCTTGTCATCTAAATTAAATTCTAATGTCTGATTCACATTTATACAAAGGCTGTTTTATGCAGATTTAATAACACAGTGAGGCCTTAATCTAGGTGTAATGCAATATACACCTCTGTTCAGGGAATTTTATCCTGCCAAAGTGGCATAAAACAGATTCATGCATGTGGATCTTCAACGATTAAGAAAAACATCATTAAGTTTGGTTGCAAGCACTCCCACTTCCTACATACATTATTTCCAAAAGTAAAATACCTCATACCTTACTGCTTCATAAAATACAATCCAGAGAGGCACTGAGTACTGGCAAGTTAGCTACTGAACATCTGAAGGGGCAAGTGGTTCATTCTTCTTTAGCAACTTCAGAGCAAACACAATCATAATGAAAATGCAGATACTCTGGATTAACAAAGACTACTAAAAAACTCACCTGTAAACACAGAAGGATGAGGGAAATTAACCACAATCAGCTTAGTCACCATTTCAGGGTAACATATAGCCACTAACCAAGCGATCATTCCTCCCCAGTCATGGCCAATCAACACACACTTGTTGTATCCTATCACATAAACACAGATTTATGCTTTTATTTCAGTGGAATTAGTATTCATACAAATTATCACATACAATAAAATCATTATTGGGCAAAATAGGTGGTCCAACACATTTATTTATGTAACTATTTAATACTGCACTGCTTCCATTACTAATAGCCAGAAAAAATAGTGCACTATTATAGTGAAAAAATCAACAAATAATTAAAATTATTTTATTGGACTTCAATTACACTTTAACTATACTACCTCAATGTCAAACAAAAGTCACTCGGTATCCAAATGGCCACCCTGTTCACCTCTTGGCCAATGTAGGGTTAGATATACAGTTCAACTTGCAGCCATTATAATCCAGGTACATTTGTTACGTTTAGGGAGTTTGGAGTTTGAAACTGCAGACAGAAAGACTGAGCAATCTCCCGAGCCCCTCTGCAACAAAACTAATCCTTATGAATTTCTCCAAATATAGGAGGTTATCTAAGCAGTGAACATCATCATTATGGAAAAAGTGGGTGTTATACTTAATAGCCAGATATGCATAGCATATATATATACACACACACATAAATGCACACATTTATATACTTAGTAGGCCTGCAACTTTTCTCCATATGCTGTTTAGATGGGAACTTTTAAAGTTCTTGGCATTTACATACTTATTCTTCCATTGATAAAAACAGTAATTTAACAGCAATAAAAGGGGGGAGAAAAATCATGACCGTGTTTTTGAAAGCCTAACCATTCCTCCTTTACCCACTGCTGGAATACATGCTACAGTGTCAGATACCATCACCCTCTTCACTGAGGATTGTAATGCTCAGCTTGGGGTTAGAGCAAACAAAAATAACAGCCTTAGAAATACTTTTCCCAAAAAATTTTAAATCCATATTGAAACTGAATTATGATGAGAGCACTTCTCAAGCATAACCATGGCATTACCATGGAGATTAACACAACCAGCAAAGGTTGGAAAATATAAACACAGTTTGGGGACTGTCTGCCCAATCTTTTGACAATATTCAGTCATCACAAGCAAAGCAAATCCTAAATTCAAACCTTAGAACTGGAACCACTGCTTTATTATTTCCTCATGTGAAATGCAGTAAGTTGTTTCACTATGTGTAGAGTATCCAGGGAATTAAAATGATTCAGAGGAGAGCTTAATCCCTTGTCTTCCTATTGGTATGGAAAGGAAATACCCTTCGCTAGGTGTTACAATTTCTTGCCAGAACAGTTACACTTCAAACTGGAGGGGCAAATTTTGCAGACTGGCTTCAGCTCTAGACAGTTGGACCATATATTTGCCACAGGGAGCAATGTGTCCCTTGTTCTTGCCTCTGTTCTCACTGTTGTATAAGACAGAGTGATTCAGCTCTTGAGAACTGACTACTGTGCAGGAGTAGTATTTTGTGATTTTTTTTTTTTTTAATAGAGCAGATGTACTGTTGTCATCTTTATAAAGCCCACAATATTTATTCTATCTTGTTTGTGCAAGAAACATGTAATCTGATTTAAATTCTTTGGTCTGCAAGTCCTATTAGACTCTAATTCAGAACATTATCGACTAAGTGCAATGGTTAGGAGTAAGCAAAGACCTTCATAGGTAAAAAGACCATAGGTTTGTACTGATGGATTTCACAGCACATAGGGAAGATTTTTTTTAAACTCATGATGGAAAATCCTCTTTACATATTGTTTATACTGACATACACCTCATAATTAGAAAACAAACCTTTTTCATTGATAATAGTCCATAAAATATGAGTATCCTTAGATTTATATCTATACATATCTGTAATGTGTATATATTAAAGAGAATACGGTTTTAAAAAAAAATCAATGCTACATCTTTATGGTTTTTTTCTCAGAAAATCAAGTAATCTATGAGCTGAGTAGTTTGTCTTCTACTAACGTACCTAGAGATTCCAAAATATCCTTTATATCTGTTATCAGGAAATCTAACTTGTAATTTTCTTTGTGAGAAGGAGCATCTGTTTCTCCATAACCTCTCAAATCCAGGGCCACCACTCGATATTCACTTTTAAATTCCCGCAATTGATGGCGCCAAGAATACCTAACGAAGGGGAAAAAAAGTTGGAGTTATAAGGTCAAGCAGTGTGATACCAAAATGCACTCAATGCTTTTGCTCCCAAATAGTTGAGGGTAAATTAGCACAGCTTTGTTGCAATGAGATTATTTTTTCTCTCTGTAGTACCCTGATGGTCCTTTGTGGCTATAGTAGTTTTGTGCTCCCTTCTTGAATTCCCCACTAAGGAAGTGCAGCTGCCAGTAAGGGGGCATGGCCAGAGCCTGGGTGTTTCAACAGTTCTGGGAGTCTGGCGTGGTCCCTTTGCTGCAGAGGAAGCAGGCATAAACCAAAGCACACAGAGGACTATTCTGTTTTATCCTTGGAGCCATAGTATCATCAAAAAAGTAAGGTCTGAAATGCTTTCTCTTCTCACTGGCTTGCTCACACACACATTTTGATGGAGTAGGGAAACATGCCTCAAGGCATATTTTTTTTTTCTTTTCAGAAAAGGAATGTCAGATAATTCATACACTAAATAAACCAAAGAAAGAAATACAATGAATAACAAATGAACTTGGTGAAGTTTATATGATTTGTATTATGTACACTTTGATCTGTGTTTCTATACTACCAGAATTGCTCCAGAACAATCTCTCGATGTGTTAGTACTGCACAAAGTATTTCATTGCTTGTGTTTCTATGGAAAAGAGTGCTAACATTACACACATTAAAAGACACACCAAATTAAGAGCTCAGGCCAAGGCCTGGGCTATTCCTCATTCTGTAATAGTATGTAGTGACTAGATGTGTGTCACGAAGCAAAAATAAGAAAATGGTGGGTCTCATCCTGCAGGAACTACCTGCCCTTCAACTGTTATTGAAACCAAATAAATTTCAGAATAGCCAGTACCAAGACAGACGTGGCCTTATCTTATACTGTGAAAGAAAGATGTATGAAAAACATGATCCTTCTAGGCATATACAATAGGCATATATAATAATGGCTGCATCCCTCTGTGCTAGGATCCAGCTTTTACCTCTGCTCTTCTTTTGACAATCTCAGATAAACGATGTATAACATTTGGATCATCAGCGATCGTAAGAGTGATACATAGAATTCTACCTTAATTAAAACAGTGTTTACATCAAACCATTGGCTCTTCTACTATAGCTTTGCCTCAAGCCTATTAGGGATTTTGAACATAAGTATTACTACAGTAACACTCATTAATTATAGAAATTTGTATTCATATAAACAGAACAGTCAGAACCTTTTCATTTCAGTGACACATAATGCAAATACAAGATTCAGCTGAGATCTCCAGGAATGAATTTTTTAAAGGCATTATAAGACTTGGAAGCTACATTTGCCATGGTAACAGTTGTAGCTGTCCTATATACTTCAGTTAAGAAGAAACAATGAGGCCCATAAATATATAAATAAACAAACTATTTTTGTTTTCAGAAAATGTCTACTTGCTATCCTCATCTTCTGTTTCCACATCAGTCCATCAATCACCAAATGTCTGACCTACCAAATGGGTAGGTTTTATATTCAAAGAAATCCTTTTACCACATATAAAATATAACTATTGGACAACTGCTTTGCAAGCAGAATTTGGAAATGTTTGTGAATGCTTTCATCTTCATAAGGCTGAATAATGGAAACTATTTTGTGACTTTCTCGTCACATTATTTCTGAAAGTGAGTTTGTACAAAATTTAGCAGCTCACACACTAGTCTTATAGGTACACAGCTGTCTCAACACATTATGCCCAGTTTCAAATATGTTATTATTGTTTTTCCACAACATTGGTATTAATTTTCAAGTTCTTATGCATCTAAAACACTTAATGTCTCTGGCGCATTTTATTCTTAGGTGATCTTTCATCTTCAGACAGTCTCTATCACTCAGGAAGGTCAGTATTGTCTGGTTAGAGTTGTCCTACTTACAACCTTGAGACATTTGAAGGCAGAGGATTTCTTACAATTAAGAATTGTTACTGTGTATCAAATCTGTTTCGTTTTGGGTTTGTTTTTTTTTTTTTTTTTTTTTTGCTAGTCAAATGACAGAAATTTGATGCTGCTTTAAATATCCCTTAAACTGTGATTATTTGATCTTGTGCTCCCAGAACAATCTCTGTTCTTGCATAAAAAAGACTTCACTGATTGAATTAACAAACCAACATCAGTGACTATTTTACAGACTGTTGGCATGTGGTCTTCTTTTTAAAAACAGTTATATAAACTAAGCTACTGGTGGTCCCAGTGACCTGTATAACTGTTTCTCATACATTCCTTCTGAATGATAATACAATATAAATATAAATTTTCCATTACTCTTCCCACTATAGGGGAAATCAGCTGTAGTCTGGGCTGTCTTAGTGTGTTAGAATATGCATTATGCAAGGTATGCATAATGTTTGCACAGAATATGCAACCCCCCATCTAACTGTCTTTTTAATCAGTTTACAGTTTTAATCCTTTTAGATAGCAATTTATTATTAGAACAATCTACTTTTTTGAAAATTTATCTTAAAATAATCATGACTTTCTACCATCATCCTCAAGGCCTCTAGAGGAAATTGCTAAGGGAAGAGAACTGACCTCTGTTTACCTGGGTCAATTTACCACGGTATGACCTGAGTCCAGCTTGAAAGCTCTCAGTTCCAACAGCAGAGCCTAGCTCCATATCCGAGTTTAGAAAGGAAAAGGATCGTTTAACTTGCTGAATTACTGGCATCACCACTTCCACTATTCCCTTATTGTTTTTTCAGTGCAAGTTCTGTAAGCCATGCTTCACTAGTTAAACCTGGCAATGACAGCCCGAGCAACTTGGTTAAATCATTAGACACATGACTGATTTTCATTGTTATAAACAAACATTTAGGACTGGGTTTGATTCGTCATTCATCTTATGATGAACTAATAATAGAAACTTTTTCCCTGAATAGCATTCTGAAATTAGGCTGCACAATAGCCTATAGAACTCAGTTCTTCTTCCCCTCCCCCAGTTAAAAATTCATGTATAGTAATTTTAATCAATGCAGCTATCCATATTGCACTTAACATATAATGGATCCCCATTTTAACATCCTCTGTTATAATTCACAAGCTTAGCCATACTAGTATAAACGTTATCCAAACAGGAAATTCATTAAAAATGAGCAGTTCCTCCCCAAAGTTTGAAGAGAAGTGTACATGCTTGGGGAAAAATGGATTGCCAATGCAAAAAAGATGCTTGGTTTGTGTCAGCCTGCAGGAATTTTTTGTGGATGCTGCAGTTAAAAAATGTTTCAATGGTTTGTTCCCTACTGAAACTTCATGCCATTAGTTAGAACTCATAGATACATGGATCACGCTGGGGATACTAAAGCTGAGACAATCACTCTCAGGTATCTTAAGTAGCCTCTTTTATACAGGAAAAGCATGTAGGGAGTTTTACCAGAATTCTGGAAAGCCATGAAGCAGCAGCATGAGTGGTTTACCCCTTTCTCCGGCAGCCACATAGTGGAATCTTAACCCTGAATCCTAAAATGAGAGAAAAAGAAGTGAGTTTTTATTGCTGCATAGAACTGCTATACTGGGATTTGAGAATGAATGGGGTTTCAGACAATATTCTAAGAGACAATGTATTGCCCCTGAAAAAAAGATATAAAATTGTCAGTGTCTGAAGCTAGTCTTCTGTGATTCTGAGATCAGGTAGCTACTACACCCTGGCAATGCTGAGTATCCCACCCTGGCTGCAACAGCCTCTTCCAGGGAGGACCATCTTTAAAACATGTCAGGCTATGTTGACTACGTGCCAGTCCAGCCATGAGCACACTAACCTTTCTGAAAGAGTACCGCCTGGCACGGTGGCTAGGAAATGCAGGTTACTGTCAAAGCTAGCACCTTGCTAGCACCTTTCACGCGGACACAAGTCATCTGCTTTACAGAAACACTCTATGACACACTATATTTTAAATGCACTTTCAATCTTCCAGTTAGTTTGTAAGATTATGCAACTATTTAAAACCATCGCATTGCATTTGAGCACAATAAAGGACCGCATGGATTCTCAAGAACCAAAAGCAATCAAAATTAAGTAACTAGAAAGCAAGTGGTTTTTGCTCGTTTTTACTGCTCAAGGTTTCAGACTTGCTTCAGAAAAGAAAGCCTTAATGTTATAAACTTCTTTCTGCCCTGTCTATAGCCACTATTTCTGATGCACCTTTTAAGAAAATGGGTCTTATGAAAATTACCAGCAGGCAAGTTACTTATTGTTAGTAGTGCAGAGGCTGAACACTGAAATACCATTGAAATTAATGGATGTACACAAGCTGACACTAACTCAAGGTCAAATCCAGTAGAATTTAAATAAACTGAAATTATGACCTGGAGGGTTTACTGAATTCTGGCACAGAAGTGGATACAGCTAGTTAGCTCACAAAAAAACAACCTGCTGTTTCAAAGTCATGTGAAAGAAACTGCAGGAAGAAATGGTTGTACAGCTCCTGAGCAAATGTCAGGGCCTGCACTGTCTCTGCTATTTTAAAGAGGGAAGAAAAACCCTGTGTCTTTGCTGTACGTCAAGAGCTTATCTCATGCCAAGGATCACAAATGCATAGAAAAAGTTTTTCTTGACAGAGATGCTTCAAATTCTTGGAGCTACCTTGGCACTGCTAACTCACTAACCAGCTACGAAACCATTAACTTACACCTTGATTCTTTAAAGGGCTCTGAGGAGGGAACATTTAGGGGTTTTATGCTCCCTATGGATATAATAGGGACTTTTTGCTCAGTTCTGTCCAAAATTACACTGTTGTTTCTCTTCTACCAATGAAGTTAAAGTCCCTAGAGGTAACAGTATCTATGCGCTTCTTAGAACTTGATCTCTTCCGAGTAAATCTTAGGGCCCTTACATCATCTTCAACATTCTTCATATCACTCTGCTTTTGACCCTTTTATATTTGAAAAAGTAGAAATTTCTCAGTTTTCTTCTATGGTTCCTCTTCTCAATTTAGTGAGTAGTGGGTAAGCCCTCCTCCATCCCCCTTCTTTCAGTTAGTGTTCTCCAGGGATTTATCCTTATTAATGTTTTCATTTTAATCTATTTGTTGCTTTTAAGGACATCCCCTTTACTCATACACATTCAATCACCACTTGTACAACAGTACTTTATATGCCACATCCCCCAAACTAAGCCCTTCCTCGACTTTTTCAGTTGCTCCTTTCTGTCCCCTTTTTTTTCAAATCATGGAATCACTAAGGTTGGAAAAGACCTCAAGGATCAAGTCCAACCGTCAACCCAACACCACCTAACTCACTGAACCATGTCCCTAAGCACCACATCTACA